ATTTCTCATTATAGATATCGGAACCTTTTTCCTCAACCATGAGTATTGTAAGTTCTCTTGTTTGAGTACTAGTCTGTTTTGATATTGTCAAACGTAGGCCGTAAATGGGGTTTATAACGGCAACACTCAGGCGACTAGGTCCTCTTAGTAAGGAAAGCTAACAATGTAATACTGGGATTGTCCCCCTATTAACAATAAGGAATATGTCTTTGTTGTTAACAAGGCCTCTCGAAGAGCGAAACTGTGAAAATGCATGGCCGTGCTCAGATGGATTTTAGAAATCATCTGCTTATTGACAGTCGGAAATCAAGAAACACTTCTGGACGTAATAAGGATGACGAAGAATCTTACCTCATGAAAAGACATTAAGTGACATAGGAAAAGGGCTATACAATAAATGCACACTTGTCCGGAAGGACAAGTGGGAGATTAAAAGGAATGGTGTCCTTCCAACAAGTGTATTATTTTAATAGAGGGTTCGGAATCATTAGAAAGCTAATTTTTCAGTGAGGTCAAGTGATCGCGATGCCTAGGTGGAGGCCGCTTTCGATCAGTAATATTAATGGGTAATTAATATTATTGCTTAATCTTGACTAAACCCTTCGGGTCGCACCCTGATTGAATAACCGATCCGAGACGACGAATCAATCCGAAGGATTAGATGAGTCATTAGAGTATTACAAACAAAGACGTCGGATATCGAGCTCAGAGCGTCGAAATCGAGCGTCACAAGTCAAGTCGAATTTAGGATTCGACGAAACGTAGAATCAAGTAAGCGACAAGTACGAGCCAAGCCATAGCCTCACATTGGCCTAGCCATGCGAGTGCTAGGCTAGGCGAGGGCACCAACCGCATGCGTGTGCGAGCTGGCTAAGCAGCCCAACCTTGGTGCTAGGCGCCAGCTGGGCAGCCTTGGCAACCAAGGCAGGCTGCCAGCCAGCCACTTGGCGTGGTCAGCACCGGTCAAATGTGGGCCGGAGACCGATCTTGGTGTTTGGCTTGGGGAGCAAGGAGTTTTGGTCCCCCCCTTTGGTGGTCCTCACCAACCCTTGCTCTCCATATGACACTTGGAGCTTGTTGATTGCTTTGTATTTTAATTTGTTTTTTATTAAAATAAATTGAGGGAAAAATGCAATTTTCCCACATTGATGGGAAAAGGGTGATCAAGGCTCCCTTCCCTATAAATACCCAAGTTTTGGGTTTGGGAAAAATCACTTGAGTTGAACTCAATAAGGCATCTCCTTGAAAGTGGGAAAACCTTTAAGTTCGTAATACTCTAGTTTTTCCTTGGTCAAGTCCTGACTAACTTTCGGGATAAAGACCGCTCGGTCAGGTCGAGGGTGCGAGCCGTCGGAGGCCTTCGCACTTGCGAGGCTAGAGCTTTGCAGTAAAAGCTCATAAGCGAGTGAAGCATGCGTCGAGGGTAAGATCGTCTTTCCTCTTTCTCTCTCTTGTTTAATTATGTGATTGCATGTTTAGTTACTTTAATTAGTGGGCGGGTCTTGGGTGGGTTTCTCTTTCGCGTAGTGTCGGACAATACGAAACCCAACAGATGGAGTGTTTGAATAATTTGTAAAATCATTCGAATCACTTTCTAAAATATGGTCTTAATTGAAAACGAAAGCTAAGGTGGGACCTATATTTTTGTAGCCCCCAAGTGTAGACTTAGGTGGCTTTTGGAATTCATGTATACATATGCTAGGGGATGTTTCTCATGTTTGAAGCCCCATGATTTGTTTTTTTCAATTTGTGGAATTTTGCATATGTTTATCACAAATTGTTTAATCAAGTAACATAATTATCTAAGCTAAATAATAGGAAGTAGTATTCTTCCTGTTGACATTTAAAGTTACTAAGATGGTTCATAGTAAGCTTTGTTTGATGTTAATTTCGCCACATACAAGTTAGCAATCAATTAGCGTATTCAAATCTGTAAATAGAGGAAAGTGGGATGTCTGGCTTTTTTAGCCCCCAGTTTGAGGCAAAGAGCGAAAATACACCGTTTTTAGTTGCCAATGGGAGGGATCATCCCAACTTACCCCCCAAAAAAGAAATGAACAAAAAAGACGGATTTGCATAAAAAGGAAAGGGAATCCAACTTTCCGATAGAAGAATTATAAAGAAAGAGAATTAGACAAGTTTTCGAATATCAAGGATTATTGACTTAACAGTTGAATCATCGTGATGACTTGGTAGTGGGGTATATGTGTAATAACGATAACGATCTTTTTTTCTATGTAGCGATCATGTTCAATTAATGTTCCTCGCTTATAGAGGATGAATGTATCCCACGTGGGCGGCCGTGATAAATGAGATGACTAATTCTCAAGAGTTGTAAGAAACATCTAAAGTTAACGTAGAGGCTGTCAATATGTCAAATCAATTTACTGTATTCACTCGTTTTCTTCTAGGCAATGTATACAGGACTTGAATCACCTTAGTAATAAATAAGCCTTTTATTAATAGAAAATAAGATGATTGTTTTTGTAAGTAATAGTCATCTTAATTTTCTTGGCAAAAGATATGGAAAACATCAAATAGATTTGATTCGATTGCTCTACTAAAAAAGATGTAATCAAGCCAATGCTATCAAATCATCCAAATTATCTGATTTTTTTTTTTCGATTTTGTAATCATTGCTCAACACTTAATGCACTTTATGTATGGGCATAACTACTCAATAGTAGGTCCACATGTGCAAAGGCTTAGGTGGGCCTTATTTTTGTAGAATGATGTCTTTTGTGGTACATGGTTATGGTCTACCTCAAGGAGGGTCTTTTCAAGGTTGTAACGTGGCTAGGCTTGGGGTTGTGAAGAATGGACAGGCTCAAGTATACTCCCTTAATCCCTTACTTTTGGTGCTTCTCAAATTAAACCTTCCTACTTTGTAAAACAACTCCTACATTAGGTGCCTTTATGCTTGTCCTCTCTCTTTTTTTTTTTTTTTTTTTTGACAAGTTTGATTTTGGGTTTAGAACGATTTTTAGCTTTTGCATTGGATTTTTTTTTCTTTTTTGGGTTTAGACTAACTTTGTGTCCCACTCTTATGTTTTATTCCCCCAATTTTTCATTTGTATCTCTTTGCACCATTCCTATCCCAAGGTTTGGAATAATGTAGGTTGAATAAGTAAGGCTCAATTGATGAGGCTCAAAAGGGCTGCCAAAAAGATGGATTTGTTCTAAGGTTATATGGGATCATCTTCATGGAGTTTCAAGTTGCCTCCTATGTTTGTGTATTCATCATATCCCTTCTTAGTGGGCCAAAAGGTGGACCTCTTTTCATTCGATAAATCTTGTAAGCCAAAGCTCATCAAGATTCTTAAAGTGTTGAGTATGTATGCCTTTTTTGATATTGCTTGTTTGTATGTGTATTTCATTTAATTTGAGCTAATAACAACAAAGTGATTGAAAAGAGAACAAGATAGACGTACTTGAAAATAGAATTTTTATTCATCAATTAATGAGAGTGAATAATAAGTAGATTCGACTGCATGAATCTCTTAGTCTATCATAGAGAAAACAAAAAGGAAAGAAACAAAACAAGACCTAGGGTGCTACATCTTGAATTGTTGACAACTTCTTGAGATTGCGTCTTCAAGCTTTGTCCGTTTCCAACGTAGGTGAGATCTTCTCTAAAAATCTAGTCCATCTATATGATTCATGGTTTCATTTATCAAGTCCCTTTCAATTAATATTCCCATAGTATAGACTTTAGGAAATGTATCTAAACCAAGGTATTGTAAATGGCACTTGTATGGTGGAGACATGTTGTCCATGAACTTTGGGACAAGTTCATGATCTGGAGGTCTTTGTGTAAGAAGAGCAACCTTTGATCGCTACCCAGAAAAGAAGTCAATAAACACTACAGCGAAAATAAACTTTAGCGGTGTTTATATAGTGACATTTATTACAAATGCCACCTAAGCCCGTGAGTAGCAATCCAAATGAATAACTTTGGACGACATTTGTATATAAAATGTCGTTAGAGCCCAAATTTCAGTTCACGGGCTTGTTGTACTTGTGGCACTTGAAACAAATTATCCGCAGTTTCTATTGCACTCTCGGAGTACCATGCTCACGCTACTCCGGGATTAAAAACAACAACGTTATTTTTTTTTTAAAAAAAAGGCAGATATGCATAAACAGGGAATAGGAGAGAGAAAGTGCGATTAAAATTAGGGATTATAAAACCCTAAATTAGTAAATTGAGTTGGGGAAAGGGAAAAAAAAAGAGAGAGAAACTTAAAAAGCATATTTGATTGTCATTAATGATGGCGGATTGAAGAAGGAGATAAGTGCGAAGAAGACAATCAAACAAAAGCAACAGAATAAAACTAAATGTACAGAATAACGTTAAATTATTGAAAGAATAACATAAGGTTATATACAAAGTAACACAATATAACAATATAAATAACATGATTTAGTAACATAATTATATTTTTATCAAAATAACATATGGTGTCTGTAAAATAACACATTGTTTTAAACAAATAACACTAGAACATAATTGAATAATAGAAGCCTAAGAAGCAAAATAACATTAGGTTTTAAGTAAAATAATTTCATTTAATTTACAAAATAACATTCACCTCCACTACTTTCAAAGACTAAAATAACATAGATTAAACACAAAATAACATAAGATCTAAAGAACAGTAACATCATCTTGAGATAATAGTAGCCTAAAATGAAAATATAGAAGCGAAATTTGTTTATCTCCTTTTTCATCTTCATCTACTACATCTTATCTCCATGTATTAATTGAATATTAAATTTTAAAAAATACAAAAATTATCACAAATTCAACACTAATTAGAAAAATAATTTACAATTATTCAAAAAACTTACTTCATGTAATAATTTATGTTAGTTTTGGACTTGCTTGAGTAGAAACTTTGTCTGTAATGGATGCAATTGAAGATTTTTTAATCCATTTTAAATGAAGAAACTGTAATTTCAAACGGAGAGGGAAAAAGAAAAGTGAGTGGAGAGAGAAATAAAATGATTTGATTTTTGGTCCATCTTTCTTATATATAATTTAAGTTATTTCATTTTCTTTATTTATTATTTCGTAGAATAAAATTTCACATGCGCTTCTTTTAGTTGGGTTTTTAGCCCATTAATTTAGATTGGCCTGGAATTTGATTTAGATTGGCCTGGAGTACAATAGTTACTCCAAGTGTACCGTATACTAATTGCAAATTTTCACGCTCCTAAAGCAAAAGCCCCAATATTTTATTCTCTCTCTCTCTCTCTCTCTCTCTCCCACTGTTTGCTGGTTCAGGTGCTCTCTTCTCCTTCCATGGTGTTCATCTTCTTCTTCCTTTCCTCTATCATCCTTTTCCTTTTTTTCTTTGATTTTTACATTTTCACTTACCATCCTTCTTTAAAGTTGGATCTTCTCTACTTCTAATTTTGTAATTCATTTTCTAGGGTTTGGGTACTTGCGGTCTGCTATTGGAATTCTGGAGGTAAGCTTATGAATTACTTTTTTTCTCCTTCTTCTGTTGTTTTTCATACCCAATTTCATTTTTTTCAAACCCCTTCATGTGAAATTCGTGAAAATCCCTTCTAGTAACATACTTACTAAGTTAAATAAAGGCTCCATAAAAATCAGTATATTTGATTCAATAACTTACTAAGTAGCAGTTCATTATAATTCTTATATCATTCTTTGAATAATCATAGGAAATTTTAGTTGTAGAATGAACAATTTGACATAGATTAAACATTAATTTAGATTATTTAAATTTCCCAAAACACCTGATGTATTCGTGAAAGTTTTGTGGGTATGTTTGACAAAAATTGTGGGTAGGTGGAGGAAACTACTTATAAGTTTCAGAAGAAGCTATTCAATTGGTAGATTAAGAGTGTTACTTGCAGCAAGATTCTCAAGGTATATTCACATCCTTTATTATTTCAATATTGAGACATTCTATGATTTGCTGTTATTTGAGATATGCTACTAATTAATAGTTGATAGATTTATTTTGCATTGTGTTTATAAATTAGCATTTAACATTATGTAGGAAATTAGGAATAAAATGAATTCATTTACTCAGTGTAAATGATAAAAAGCAGGTTATATGAGTGCTAGCTTTATTTTTCCTCGGCGATTGCAAATATTTGAGCGGGTATGAATTCCATTAATTTATGAAAATTTTGTAGTTTGTCTAATCCTTTTTCGTGTATGTGATGTTGGCTTTCCTGTGTGTGTGAACCCCATATTTTTGAACTTTCGTCTTGGTTGTGACCCTTTAGTTATTGGACTTTGATAGGCGGTCGCACACCTAGCAAAAATAACCTAACTAACCACTACTATGTAGACAGGCAAGTAAGGGTCGAATCCCAAGAAACTAAAGTTCAACTAATTAATTAGACTCAAATTCTTACTTGGCAATAATCAACAATGATCGAATAACTAAAGAACTAATGTATGGAAAATCGAAAATAAACTAAGGAATATGATAATCAAATAATTAAAACATCCAAGATCTAGTATCACCACAATTACGCTTGATGCAATTATATTTCTACCCCTGACATACGATTCCAATTGAAAGGGAAAAAGTAAACCCTAATTAATACCAAGGACCTTTCTCGAGTATCAATGACTTCCCTAACATACAATCAAGCCTATTCTCATGGTATCATGCACATTAGAGACATTAAACACATTACTCTAACTTCCTAATTATCAACCCAACTATTCTCATGTTGAAAATCAAACCCTAAATTAATCTACTCAAATCCGTTTAAACCCAACTCTCGCTGTGTTAGAAACAATGGTAGTTAGATTGTGCTAGGTGTGCAAACCGCCTATCAAATTTTGGCGCCGTTGCCGGGGACTAACTGATAACTTGCTATTTTATGCGGTTTTAGGGCGTATTTGAACCTAGTTTACCTGAACAAATTTGTGTTTTGGTTCACTTTTACCCTATTATTATGCAATTTTTGTGTATCCTATGCTTCACGGGTTGTTAGTGTTTTTGTTGAGATTTTAGGTCCAAAGACGACCAAATGAAGCCCATGGTTACCAAACCGAGGTTAGAAGCAAGGAAATGATGGAAAGAATCCAAGTACAAGAGCATCGTAGAAGAAAAAACACGAAGAAAAGGGCCCAGAAGACCCTGCACGACCGTGCAAGATGTTGCACGTCCGTGCAGGAGTGCAGACCTGAACCCATCTTTCTGCCAAGGCCAGCACGGACGTGCCAAATATTGCACGTCCGTGCAGATGATGCAACACGGACGTGCTTCCGTGATTATGAGGCAGCACGGACGTGCCAAATATTGCACGTCCGTGCAGATGATGCAGCACGGACGTGCCAAAGGTGCACGCCCGTGCTGCAGCAGGTCGTCTTAAACTGAGTTTCTGCCTTGGTCTGCACGGACGTGCCAACTTCAGCACGTCCGTGCAGACCTACAGTTTACCCGTTTCTTGTTTTCTCCGTCCTCTTATTTTAGGGGGTAGTATAAATAGCCCCTTTGGACCATTTTAGAGGGGTTCCCAATTTTTTCAGATTTTCATACTCCTCTTAGTTTGAAACACAAAAATCCTCAAATTAGCATAGATTTTAGTTCTTGTTTTGAAGGTTCTCAATCCAATCATTGTAGAAGACAAGTTCCACCATTGTTAGTCAATTATTGAAGCTTCTAGTAATTTTTCTTACTCTTTCTTTCTCTCTTCTATCTTTAATTCTTGCTTTTTATTAATTGTTTGGTTGTTCTTTGCATGTTTAATTCTTAGATTCTACTTAATTCTTAGTTTTAATTTGTTCATGAATTCCTTGAAATCTTTAATTGCTTTAACTTCCATGGATTGTGAGTAGTCTAATTTCTAGGGTTTGGGTGAACCCTCAATGTAATCACCAACACTTGTTGCATGTACTAATTTGTTAATTGTGGGGTGTTAATTAGTTGAGTTTAAGAGGTTTCATTGTTAATTCTTGTAATTGGCCATTGCTTGAATTATTTATCTAGCTTCCTCAACGAAGGATCGAGAGATGAACTTGAGGAAGCTCCCTTATGCTTGATTGACTTGATTTGCCATGAGAATAGGAATTTCTAGTCAAGGGAATTACCATGTTATCGTGAGGATGTTTTAACACTTGTTTCTTGCCCATAATCACGAGAGTAGGTTATGGTTTTGATGTCAAGTAATCCCTCTAGCTTGAGAGAGTAGTTGGGTGCATTTGATAACTTCCCCTAATTTATCCCCTAAATCACCATTTCTATGCATGCTACTTGTGGTCCGTGATGAAGTTGAGTGGTGTAACCCATGCCCTAGGCCTTCTTAATATTGTTAATCACCTCTTAGAATTAGTTGATTTGAATTAGAATAGTGTGACGTAATACCAACTTAAAACCCCCGACTTAATCTAGCTTGTTTAAACAATAACATTTGGTGGTTGATTCAACGCCTCTCATGGGTTCGACCCTTTCTTGCCCTTGCTACTAGTTTAGTAGGATCGAGTTAGGTCTTATTTCTTGATAGGTTGACGACGTCCTATCAAGTTTTGGCGCCGTTGCCGGGGAGGCAAAGTCACATTGAATAAGATATTGTTGAATGAGTCTAGATTTGTGTATATGTATATAATCTTCTTATTTTGTTTTTGTTTAAGCGTGTTTACTTTGTGATAGTCATTGCTAACGTTTTCCTTAGCTTTGTTTGACTGTGCATGACACGGAGGAGTAAGCAATCACCGCTTATCCCCGTAGATCCGGAGTTAAATAGAACTTTGAGGAACGTAAGAAGGCTCCTACAAGGCACGCCGGATTTTTCTCTAGCTTATACGGATTCCGAGTCGGAGGATAATCTTGACAACGAGCAAGAGATGGCCAACCCACCGCCTCCTCCACTTCTACAAGACTATGACCACCCCGATGCATTCCAACTTCGGAGTGGCATACTTCTTCCCACCACCAATGCAAACAACTATGAGTTCTCTCCTCAACTCATAAGGATGATCCAAAGTGAACAGTTCGGGGGGAGTGCAAATGAGTGCCCTCTAGCTCATTTAGACAACTTCCTTGAGTTGTGCACTACCATCAAGCAAAACAACCTCACGGAGGAATTCATTTGGATGCATATGTTTCGGTTCTCTCTTAGGGACAAGGCTAAGTGTTGGTTGAGGTCCGTGAAAGAAGGATCCTTAACAACATGGGAAGAGGTTACCAAAGCATTTCTTGGGAAGTTTTGTCCGCCCGAAAAGACCGCGGAATTGAGAAGGAAGATTACAAGCTTCACTCAAGAGGATGATGAAACCTTAGGTGAAGCATGGGAAAGATTCAAGGATCTAAAGAGGAAGTGTCCACACCATGGGTTGCCTTTATGGATGATTATTCAAAGCTTCTACGACGGTCTCACTCCTACCTCAAGGGCCAATCTTGACAACGGAGCCGGTGGTAGTCTTAAAAAGCTACCGGTGGAAGAAGCCGAGAATATGATTGAAGAAGTTGCAAGGCATTACGCCTATAGATATGATAGAAGAGAAAGTCAACCGAAGAAGAAAGGTATGCATGAGTTGAGTGCAATAGATCTCATTGCCTCAAAGTTTGATATGCTAGCTCACAAGCTAGACCAAGCAACCTCCTCAAGCGGTACCTCCTCTTCACAACCACAACCACAAGTCATGTCTTGTGAGACTTGTGGGGGTAATGATCACATGGCTTCATATTGCAATGCTACTAATGAGCAAGTTGCGGCCGTGAACCAAAGAAATGAGCAACCTTTCAATCAAGGTTGGAGGCAACAAAACCAAGGGTGGAGACAACCCAATCAAAACCAACAATCCAACTACAACAACCCTCCTCAAAACATCTACAACCAAAATCAACAAAATCACCAAGCCCCATACCGCCATCCAAACCAACAAAGACAACAATTTAACCAACAACCTCCTCCACCCCAAAAGACTTCCCTTGAGGCCGCTCTTGAGTCTTTCATAAATCAACAAGGGAAGAGCAATGCAGAAATGAGCTCCAACATCCAACAACTTCAAGCGCACAACAAAATAATTGAGAATCAACTAGCTCAAATTGCACAACAAGTTGGGAGTTCTACCTCCAATGCTAGTGGTCAATTTCCAAGCTCAACGGTTGTGAACCCGAAGGAGCATGTCAAGGCTATCACATTGAGGTCCGGGAGAGGGTATGAAGGTCCGGTAATGAGTGAAGATGTGCCACAAAAGAGAGATGAGGGTGTGGAGGTGAGAAGTGAGAATGATGTTGAAAATGAGGTGGTAGAAGTTGAGAGAAAAGAAAAAGAAAAGAGTGTTGAGGGAGACACAAAGAAAGGAGAGGGAGTTGAAGTTGAAGTGGAGAAACCCCCAATGAGAGTCTACAAGCCACCTATTCCTTTCCCTCATAGGTTGGTAGAGAAAAAATTGAATGAGAAGTTTTCAAAGTTCCTTGAGGTCATGAGAGGGCTCCAAGTGAACATTCCCTTTCTTCATGCTATGTCACAAATGCCTACATATGCGAAATTTTTAAAAGATCTCTTGTCCAACAGAAGTAGGCTTGAAGAGAGTGCAACCATCTCCCTTCCAATGGAGGTGAGCGCAATCATTCAAAACAAGCTTCCCCGAAAGCTTGGTGACCCGGGTAGCTATGCAATTCCGGTGAAGATTGGAGATATGGAAGCCATGGATGCTCTTTGTGATCTTGGGGCAAGTGTAAGCTTGATGCCCTTCTCAATTGCGAAAAATTTAAAAGTTGGTGAGATGAAGCCAACAAGAATCTCAATACAATTAGCCGATCGTTTTGTTAGATTACCAATGAGAATACTTGAAGATGTACCGGTACAAGTGGGAAGAGTGTTTGTACCTTGTGACTTTGTGGTGATGGAAATGGAGGAGGACAACAAGGTTCCTCTCATTTTGGGAAGGCCGTTCTTGAACACGGCGGGAGTGGTAATTGATATGAAACAAGGCAAGCTAACATTGAATGTGGGAGATGAGAAAATTTCTTTCTCATTCTCGCAAGCCATGAGGAAGCCTATGTATGAGGATATCAATAGAATCGATACTCTTGACCGAGAAGTGGAGGAATTGAAGATGATGAACAATAGCAAAGATACTCTACAAGCGATCCTCACGGAAAGTTTGTACAATGATGATGATGAAGCTAAGGGGTACAAGTTGTTGCTAGACCAACCCCTACATGACAAGGCAAGGGAGTTTGAAGCACTTAAGGTGGAGGTAAAAGAGGAGAGGTCTACGCCTCCTCCTAAGGTTGAACTTAAACCCCTTCCCCCTTCACTTAAATACGTTTTTCTTGATGATAATGAGACTTATCCCGTTATTGTCAATACCAACCTTGATGACACTTCCCTTGAGAAACTCCTAGTTGTGTTGAGGGAGTATAGGAGTGTCATTGGGTATGCCATTGATGACATTAAGGGGATAAGTCCTACGATATGCATGCACAAGATTTTGCTTGATAATGATCATGACTCCTCAATTGAGCACCAAAGAAGGCTCAACCCCAACATGAAAGAAGTTGTTAAAAAAGAGGTTTTGAAACTTCTTGAAGCGGGCATAATCTACCCTATCTCCGATAGCAAGTGGGTTAGCCCGGTTCAAGTTGTTCCAAAAAAAGAGGGCATGACCATTATCAAGAACGATAAGGGTGAGACCATTTCTACAAGGTCGGTCACCGGGTGGAGAATGTGCATAGACTATCGAAAATTGAACAAATCCACTCGGAAGGACCACTTCCCTCTCCCCTTTATCGATCAAATCTTGGAAAGGTTGGCATCACATAGTCACTATTGCTTCTTGGATGGGTATTCGGGATTCCTCCAAATCCCTATCCTACCCGAGGATCAAGAGAAGACTACATTCACATGCCCTTTTGGCACCTTTGCTTATCGAAGGATGCCATTTGGATT